ACGGAGGCTGTAGTCGAGCATGAATCAGTGCACCCCTGCACTCCAGCTTGGGTACAAAGTGAGCCTCTGTCCTTAAAAAAAAAAAAAAGTATCTCTTGTGTTTCCTTCCAATACCTGTACACATTTTCATTGTGTTACGAGTTCTCTTTAACTTAAGTCCTTGGTGTAACAATTATATGCTTTATTTACATTGTCTATTCAAGGGAAATCTTATAAAGTTTCCTGTGTTAACTATCCTTAGACTTGTTTCTTTGTCAAATATCCTCTCCTTTCGCCAGAGCTATTAATAGTGTCCCTAATTGTCTTTTGTCTCCACGTATCAGTGAGCTTCTGGCTGTGATTGCCTTTCAGTTCAACTTGCCTGACAAGTCCCACACTTACCATCCACTTCCTGAACATCCTGCCAATTCTGGGACTAACCTTCTCAGACTGGTGCACTAGCCTGCTGGGTCTTTCGCTCCCTTACCCTCCAGTCGGCCGCCTGTATTCTTGCCTCTTGTCAAACCTCTGAGTACAGGCACGACTCCCTACAGAAGCTGGGGCCCATGAGACGTTCCTTCCCAAGGCCAACTCCAGCCTGTCTTTGTAGCACTCACAGTCTAGGCTGTGCACTCTAGGCTTTCCTAGCCTCCAGGCTTCACCAATAGATCCCCTCTCCTTTTTCTAAAACATTCATTTACTTTGATCAGCAGCTCGGCGTCTGTCTCTGCTCATTGACTTCTCTTTGAAAGCATCTTGTTTATAGATTAAAAATTTGTCTTTTTGTCAATGTGCGTGGCTCATGCGAGCTGGCCAGTATGGTAATAACGCCTAAATCCTAACAGTACTAGAAACTACTAGACAACTAGCTGCGGCGTGGTGGATGGCTCCTGTAATCATCTGCGCTACTCGGGATGGCCCTGAGGCAGGATATCACTTGAACGCTGGGAGAGTGAAGGAGGCGATTGCAGATGAAGGCCAAGATCACCAGCACCTCGTACTCCAGCCTCCGGATGACAGAGTGAGGATTCTGCTCTATCAAATACCATAGAATACAAAAATAAATAAATAAATAAAGTAAACCAACTTTTTTGGTTACGCAAGAAGTCTCTGCTACGTGTCCAGGTTGGAGCTTAACTCCTGGGCGTCATGCAGTCGCTCCCACCTCAGTGCCTCCTGAGTAGCTGGGACTCCAGGTGTGGCCGGCTACACCCCCCCCCCCACCACCATCGGGCCGCAGCATAATGCTTATCTGATAACTGCATACTCTCCTTTATCTAAGAATAATATATAAATCAGTAATTCCTACCACATTAATGAGTATTTACTTTGGTTTCTAGCCTACTATGTACGTGCATTCCTTTTCCAGTTCTGCTATCTTCCAGCAAACGCCGTGAGGTGTATCCATTTACCAGATTGGCAAATTGAAGCCCGGGAGGACCTAAGAAACCTTACCCCAATGCGTACACACAAGTCACAATGTCCAGCATCAACGTTGAAACCAAAACGGGGTGTGGGTCAGCTTTCTGGGCCTAGCTGGCCCACTCTGCCGACACAGTTGCATTTCTTCCCCTGGTGCTTCTGAATATTTAATCAATTTGAGCTGCCAATGATCTCCATTCAACGCGCACGGTTCCTAATATGCTCCATGTTTTCTCCGTTTTCCGAATGATCCCTCGACTTAAGGGTTGAACCTACCTAATTACTTCCTCACCGAGTCTGAAGCAAACATTTAGTTCTTAATCCTTTAGTGTTCCCTTTATCATTCTATTCTGTACTTTTTGCTTAATCTTGGTTCGAAAAGGCCCACACTCCTTTCTTCCTCGATTTTAATGGTACACGCATTTAGCCTGTTCTCTTTTTCACTTATACATTACCTACATCACCGGACAGCCCTTGGATCGGGCCACAGCCATCACTCCTCTCGGTTTGGGAATGGAACTTGAACACGAGAGGACAACATGGCTCTCTGAAGAACCTGGAAGCACGCCAGAAATCTGGGCCCGGGCCTGCTCTGCCTGGGGCTCGACCTCAGAGCAACTAATCCGCGCTGCATGCTCAGTTTTCCTGTGGTATTACTGGTTAAGACCACAGCGCTACGTTGTCCAGGTTGGACTTGAACTCCTGGGCTCATGCAGTCCTCCCACCTCAGCCTCCTGAGTAGCTGGGACTACAGGTGTGCACCACCATGCCCAGCATATGCTATCTTTTAAAATTCATCTCTCAGTATAAGTAGTAGTAGTAGTAACAGTAATTCCTAACATATATTGAGTATTTACTGTGTGTTAGGCCCTATTGTAAGTGCTTCACATGTTTCAAGTCCTGTAATTCTTAGAAAACTCAGTGAGGTGTGATCCCCATTTTACAGATTGGGAAAGTGAAGCACAGAGAGGCTAAGAAACTTACCAAGGTACACAGCAAGCCAGCATGTAGCATAGTGAGGATTTGGGTTCAGCTGGTCTGGCCCTAGCATTGGCCCCACTCTGGCCTTTACCATTGCTTCTCCGTGGGTGGCTTCTGAATGAATTAATTATTAGCTGGCACAGTGATCTCCAGTTGCACGGGTTCCTAAGTAGTCTCCAATGTTTTCCTCTCTTATCTGAATGTTCCCCTCCTGAACTTAATTGGGTGACTACCTATTGATTCCTCAGGCCTGTAAGGACATTTTGAGTTCTAATCTTTTATGTTCTTATCACTTCTAGTTCTTTGTACTTTTGTTAGTTGGTTCCTCAAAGGCTTCTTCTCTTCCTCTGATTTTCAAGTTTGTAACAAATGTCTACTTTGTTCTTTTTCATTTGATTTAATTATACATCACGGAACCCATTGGAGGGCCCATACTTCTTGGGTTTGGGAATAGTGAACTGACACGGAGAGGGACAACATGGCCTTCTGAAAGAATCCTGGGAGCAGGGCCAGGAAATCTGGGCTCTGGGCCTGACTCTGCTGGGCTGACTCAGGCACATTACCTCCGCGCTGCATGCCTCAGTTTCCCTGTGTATTAATATGGTTAAGACCACAGGCTTTTGAGTCAGACCATTCTAGATTCCAGGCCCAGTTCTGCTAATTATTATTATTTTTTTGAGATGGAGTTTCGCTCTTGTCATCCATGCTGGAGTGCAGTGTCGTGATCTCGGCTCACTGCAACCTCCACCTCTCACGTTCAAGCAATTCTCCTGTCTCAGCCTCCCAAGTGGCTGGGATTACAGGTGCCAGCCACCACACCTGGCTAATTTTTTGTATTTTTAGTAGAGATGGAGTTTCACCATGTTGGCCAAGCTGGTCTCGAACTGCTGACCTCAAGTGATCCACCTGCCGCAGCCCCCCAAAGTGCTGGGATTACAGGTGTGAGCTACTGCACCAGTTCTGCTACTTATTAGCTGTGTGTCCTTGTGCAACTTGCTTAACCTCTCTGAATCTCAATTTTCTCATCTATGAAAACTGGAACATAATATCTAATAGTGTGGTTGTGATGATTCAACACTTGAAGAGCTTAGCACAGTGTCTGGCACATAGCAAGCATTCGAAAAATGTCAGCATGATCATCATCATGAAAGTCTGAGGAGTAAGATCATTGTGGAAAAGCCTCAGAGGTTTTGGGAAGAAAGGCTTTAGAAAAAAGCCCTCTCAGACCTATTACCTTTTTTCTTGCAACTGCATTGCAGTTTGCCACTCATCCAAGAACTTCCACGTTCCTTTATTACCTTTTACCTTTTTGTTTCTCTTTTGTCCCCTATGCTTCCTGCCTTAGTCTCCACTTGTCCATGCTATGCTGGCTCTTGGGCAAAGTTTGTGTGTAAGCTAAATGCCCAAGCTGCAGGTTTTGGGCATGTCTACCTGCTGCTTATCCCCTCCCCCAAACCCCCCAATGCTTCAAGGCTTGTACATTATGCCTGTCAAAAATTTAGCTAAAACACCCCTTGGCTTCTGCTGGGTCCCAGGAGCCACTTTACCAATGCAGGCTGCCCTCCTTAGGAGTCCTGGAAGCAGAGAGCTCCTGGCCTCCTCTGGTGTCTGCCTCACCCACCACCAGGCAGTCTACTCAGTTCCTCGCCCCCATTTCTACAGGCTGCTTTGCAGTTCTGCTGAGCCATCTTCCTGCGTCCCCACCAGTTTTCCTTCGGCCCACATTCAGGCAGACTTTCTGGGGTCTGACATTCCAAGCCCCCCACTGGGTGTTTCTCATCTTTGTTTATCTCTTCTCTGCAGTCTCCCCACCCCTACTTGGATGTTTGTTAGCTTGTTTATTGGATTTTCTTATCCTGCCTGTTTCTCACCCATTTTTTTCCGCATGGGCGTATCAACCTTGTTGGGCTGTGGTGGCCTCCTGCCTAGCTCTGACCCTGGGCTGGCCTTCTGGCTTCCACCCAGCTCAAGCCCTGTCTTTGTTGCTTCTTTGGTCCAGAGTTCCCTCGAGGGCAAGGCTGAGCAGAGGAAAAATGATGCCTGGCTCCACCACAGAGCAGGAGGAGGCTGCTCCCACCTCCCATCATCCAAGCAATATGTCTAAAAAACATCTCAGCACTGAGCCAACTCCCTTCTCCTCCCTCCTTCCCCACTGGCCTGAGTCCAAACTTGTAGGGGGACCAAGATCCCCACTGTGTCCTGAGAGCCCAGGCCAGCCCTGGGCCAGGCTGCTGGCCCTACCTTGTGCAAAGAGGTCCGCTCCACCAGCTGGAAGGGAGCAGGATCAATTTTGCAGTCACTGAAGTTGACAGGTTCATCTAGTTGTTGCTCCTCCCACTCCAGAATCTGAGGGGAAGAGACTACGAGGGTTAGGGAGAAGGTGCCTGTAGCTGACCTCACCTCCCTGAAAGCTAACTTGCCCTTTTTCCAACCCTGTGGTCCCTCCCATGGGGACAGCAGCCAACATGATGACTGAACACACCCAGAAAGAAACAGGGTCCAGAGTCCAGTGGCACCTTACCTCTTCAGGGCTCATCTCGCCTTCCAGGTCCGCGTCACTCTAGTAGAGAGGGAGGGAGGCTGGCAGCTAGGGGCTCTGGAGTTTATCCAGCCTAGACCCTGCCCTCCCTGCCCGGTGCCCCCGAGCTCCTGGAAGAGCAGGCATACTTACTGCCAGGGAGATTCGGACCCGCTTCAGCTTGCGCTTCTCACAGGATTCCAACTTCTTCAATTTTGTTAGAGCCAAATCAGAAAGATGAGGAGTTGAGGTTATAGGGAAAGGGGAGGTGAGGGGAAGTGGTAGAGCCCAGGGGGAAGGGCATGCCGCAGGACCCGAGCTGACAGCAGGGAGGGCCGAAGGGCAGGGAGAATAGAGGCAGGCACTGCAGGGTTAATGATGTGGTCTCAGCATTGGCGAGGGAGCTGGGGAAAAAGCAAGCTAGGAGGAGAGGCTCCAACCACTCACCTCTGAAGCAGCTTCAGGGGGTGGACTGCCACAGAAGAGGCTCCGGAGGGCAATGCTTGCCGACTCCGCGCTTCCTGTGTTCCCAAACATAAGGCCCCAGGGGGCAGTGTCATCTTTGGGGGAGAGGACCAGGAAAGGTAAGGAAGACAGGGGGAGAGGTATCGTAGTTCCAGCCCTGGCCCATGTGGGCAGCCTCTTCCAGCTGGGATATGCCCCAGCAACAGGGCTGGGCAGGGACTCTAATGGATCTCAGTAGCTTGGCTGAGGCTCTGTTGACACAGGAGAGATGGGCTTACCTGTGGAACTCTCTCCAAGGTTCCTGGTGACACTGGGCCCCCTCTTGAGTGCAGGCTTTAGGGGCTTGTGGGTCTCCCCCCGGGCTGCCGGGAAGCCTGAGTCTTCTGTGTTCACCTGCATGGGCAGGAAGGGGCTGGTGGGGCCATGGCCCCAGACCACCCTCCCAGTCAGTCTACACAAAGACATTTAGGAAGTGTTTGTGGCTTCTCCTCTCACCTGGAAGCAGACAGAAGCCTCAGGGCTAGGGGGACCCTCCTGATCAGATGGTGGAGAGGTCTGGGTGGCTCTGCGCTCCTGCATGTGCTGCCGCCGGCGGGCTGGGCTCAGCTGGGCCCCCAGCAATGCCACCACCTGTGAACGCTCGATGGAACCCAGCAGAATCATGGACTCTGGACAGAACAGGTGGAAGGACTCAGGAGCTGAGAGGGAGCCCTCTAGCCCCGTCCTTCTCTCACACTCAAGAGTGGGGCCTTGCATTCAGGCCACACACCAGAGGGAAGTCCCCACCTGGCAAGTGCTGGCCCATTCCCTTTGGAACCAAGGAGACCAGTCCTGAGCTCCCTGCCCCTTCCCGAAGCTTCGACCCTTGGAGATGCCCCTAGCACCTGGGCCCCCTCCTGGCCTCACCAGGGGACTCCACTAGGGCCAGCATTCGGCCCTTGGTCCTGTGCAGTGCCAACCGCAGGTCCCGGAAGGTGCAGCTGAGGGCCACATGGGGAACATCCCGCACCATGATGTCCTCCACACGCACCCGGTACTGCCTGGGGGCCGAGAGGGGCGCTTGGTTTATGGTCAGCATGGGGAGAGTTGCCCAGAGCATTACCATCCCAGGGCCACAAGGAGGGCTCCAGAGCCTATCCATGGGGATGGGGGCTAAGGGTCAAGGGGTGCTCCCACCCTTCTTTCTGAACAGCAGGGGCCAGCTACAGTCCCTCCGGGGTGTGGATGAAGGTGGCTCATCTCCCAGCTTCATAGGCTCCAGGACCTTGCTGGAGGTGGGTGTAGGGGGATCTAGGATGCCCTCTGCCCCTCACCCACAGCCCCCTTGGCACCCAGCCCTCCGTACTGGTGGCGGCCCCAGCCCAGCTCAGGCAGGTAGGGCAGTTTCTTGATTCGGATGATGCTGTCATAGAGGGAGGGCTGTAGACTCTGGGCGACAGCGTTAGCCAGGATGACGGCGATCATGACAGGCAGGATATGGGCAATCTGGCCTGTGAGCTCGAACACGATCACAGCCGTGGACACTGTGTGTGTCACCGCTCCTGCCAACGCAGCCGCCCCTGGGGACGGTCACACTCAGTCTCCTCAGGGTGCCCAGGCCCCAGAAGACTCTCCACAGCCAGGGCAGGTCCTGAGTGGGTCCCTCAGGGCTGCCCAATACAGTCCTGGGATTGGGCCTGTGCTTCTGATGGAAGCCTGCTTTCTGCCAGCAGGGGGCACCAGAGTCTCAGACCCTGTGGCTGGGGCGTGGGTGGGGGGTCTTCCAAGGCTGATGGGACCTGAGGCACTTACCAACCACAGCGTAGCCCCCAGGCACAATCCGGTAGGTGCTGCTGTCTGTATGAATTCCATCTGGGAACCAGGCAGCCATGCTTTCGCCCACCAGACGCCCAAATGCTGCTCCTTCAGGGAGGAGGGTGGGAAGAGAAAGAGGCAGTGGAGGGGGAGGGCAGAGGGCACTAGGAAGAGAGAGGGTCAGAGGGTGAGGGAGGGGCCAGTGGGTCATTCAGTGCAGGGCACAGCCCTGCGGGGTCAGGGTTCAGGCTAGGGCTGGACCAAAAACCCGCTCTTGGGCAGAGGGATGGCCCGGGGGCGGCCAGAGGGTGGGGAAGGTGCAGGCCGGGATAGCAAGCAGCTGAGAACTCACCAATGACAAAGACAGGCATGAAGGCGCCACAGGGAACTGGGATGGTGGTGGCCAGTGCAGACATCCAGAACTGCAGGCAGGGGGTGGTTCAAAGGCGAAGAGGCTCCACCTGGCCCCAGACAGCCCACAACTCCACCCAGGAGAAGTCTACCTCCCTGGTCAGGTAGGCATAACCCTCCCAACTACCCCATAATCCTCCCAGCTACCCCGGAACCCCCAGGCCTCCCAGGTGATGGCAAGGGGAAGGACCCTGAAAGCAGATGGCTTGGGTTCAGATCATCGCTCTGCCCTCTAGCTGTGTGACTTTGGGCCAGCTACTTCACCTCCTTGTATTTCGACTCCCCATCTTTCAAATGGGGCTAAAAATAGTGCCTTTCCCATGTCACTGTGGAGAGGCTTCAAGCAGTGAGCACTGCGTGGCAGGTGCTTAGAAGGGCAAGCTATGTAAAGGTTAGCAGTGTACACATGAGGAGCCCACCTTCATGAGAATGAAGATGACCAGGGTGAGGAAGACGTTGGCACGTGGTGGGTTCCAGGCCTGTGAGGTGCTGGGTGGTTCTAGCTCCTCCACCAGGCCCTGGTGGACCCACGTCCGATTGTCAAACAGGGTGACCAGCGTCTCTTTCTGTGAGAGCTAGAGTGAACAGGGTGCCTCAGGCTGGGGAACCAACAGGATGAAGGGAAGAGGCCATGGCATCCCATGGGGAACAAGGGGTCCCGCAGTCACACTGGGGCTGTTGGCTTTGGAGGGAATGCCTTCCAAGGGAAAGCACAAACTCCTGTTCTGCCTGTGGTTACCTGTCCAGCCATGAACTGTCCAAAGCCAGGGGGGAAGGTCAGCGTGGAGATGAGCAGCGTCACCAGAGCCGGGAAGAGCAGGCGTCTAGAGTCGTAGGTTTCACATCAGTCGTGGGTGGCCAAGGGCTGCATGCCCTCGCATATCTCAGGGCTGAGGTCAGAGCAGAGCCTTGGCTCTTTCATGAAAACACTCAGTCCTGACAGAAGGTCTCCTCTGCTGTTTATGATATGATAGCCCCAAGGGTAATGGTGGACTGGAGTTACTCTAAGTGCAGGGGTCTGACCCGAAGACCTTTCTGTCAGCCCCTGACTCTGTAGGTGGGTAGCAGCAGCAGAAAGTCCATCCTCCAAGCCCTCCCTGGGGCCCCTCCAAGTTGTTATTCCACCCTCCGCCCTCAGAAGCCCATCTGAAGGGCATATTGTGTGGTGGGGTGGAGAAGTTTCTGCCTCTGTTTGTCTCTCTGCGGTGACTTAGAGTGAAGGTCAATGTTGGGGGAAGGTGGGGGTCACTTGTGAAGTTGACCAGAGGTGTGTAGGGAGCAGGTTCAGCTGGGTGCCCTCTCTCTGAAGGATGTCAGTCCCAAGGGAAGTCATGTCTCAGGCCTCCTCACTCCCAATTCTCAGGGTCACACTGACAGAGTTGTGTTCTGGAGATAAAAAAAAAATCTCGGCCATGCACAGTGGCTCACGCCTGTAATCCCAGCACTTTGGGAGGCTGAGGTGGGCGGACCTGAGGTCAGGAGTTTGAGACCAGCCTGACCAACATGGCAAAACACCGTCTCTAATAAAAAATACAAAATTAGCCAGGTGTGGTGGCACATGCCTGTAATCCCAGCTACTTGGGAGGCTGAGGCAGGAGAATAGCTTGAACCCAGGAGGCGGAGGTTGCAGTGAGCCGAGATCGCACCATTGCACTCCAGCCTGGACAACAAGAGTGAAACTCCGTCTCAAAAAAAAAAAAAAAAAAAAAACAACCAAGAAATCTCGTCCATCCTCATGGGTCATGGGGGCAAACAGGCTCAAACACTCTCCAGGGAGCCAGGCCAGCAGACCTGAGGAGGCCTTAGTCTTTGATTCCCAAATGTCCTCTGCCACTGACTATAAACTTAAAAGTGCCAATTTTCAGGTAATTCATATGAACATAAAAATGCACACTCAGCCTGGAAAATACCCTGGCTGATTTCTCAGGGGAGTGCCTGTTTTGACTGGGCCACTCTCTCGCCATCACTGTCCCCTGACCTACTGCGGCCCTTATACAACCCAAAGCAGCCTGGAGAGGAGCCGAGAGCCACTCACTTCCTCATGAGGAAGCGATTGATGGTTTTCTGCTTCCGCATCACCTGGACAATCTTCCGGTTCAGGTAGACAAAGAGGGCTCCACCGAAGCCACTAGCAATACTGGAAAGGGAAGAGGCACCCGACTGAACAGGAGTCTTCCAGAAACCCCCCCTCCTCTCCAACACCCCCAGGCCCCTTAGCTCCTCACCCAATGACAGCAAAGGCTGGCAGCTCCTGCAGGTCAAAGGGGAAGTCGAGCCGGAATCGGGTTTTGAAGAGGGCCGTAATAGTCTCTAAAGGGAAGAATAGCAGAGGGAGGCAGGCCTAGCCTCGTGGGCCCCCTACCTGGCACCATCTCGGGCTGCCCTCATCCCCTGGGTGCCCCCCACCTTCATCCCGGTTCCAGACTGCCAAGACCCGGAAGATGAAGGCACTGAAGGTGGCAGCGAAGAAGCCCCGCCAGTAGTTCCGTACCGCGAAGAAGGTGGAGGTGACCTCGATGCTGAAGAGGACGCCTGTGAGGGGGAGGGAGACCGTCACTTGAGGCCTGGGCCTGGCCTAAGGCCTCGGACCCAGAGAAGAGGGGTCAAGGAGGAGAGGCCAAGGGCAGGGTTGTGGGGCTGGACAGACCTAGGAGCCCTGCCTACCTCCAATAGGTGCCGCAAAGCAGCAGCCCACCCCCACGGCACAGGCGGCAGCCAGCATCTCTGTGTTCCGGGATTCATTCTGGCGAGAGTGGTGGCAAGAGGGGGTCAGCCGTGGGCTCAGCAGCCTCTGCCCCCCACTTCCCTCAGGGTTCCCCTTACCTCATAGATACCCCCAAAGAGGGAGAGGAACTTGCTGAGAAGGGCAGCACACATGCTTGCGATATGCACAAAAGGGCCCTGCGGGGTGGGGCAGGCCGTGAGTCGGGAGGGGGCCCACCCTGACCTTGGCCTGGCCTCCTCTTCCACCAGGAGGGACTCCTTCATTCCCCAACCTGCAGTTACCTCTTTGCCAAGCGGCATTCCGCTGCCCAGGGCGCAGGTCAGCCCAATGACCTTAGCTATAAAGGTCTTGAGTGTGAGGTATTCTTTCAGCACCACTCCCCGCAAGATGGTCTTCATCTCAGGGATGCCAGAGCCTGGAGAGGGAACAGTCTCAGGAGAGGCATTTGGTGTGCCTATTTCAGGGGTCCCACCTCTGCCCTCCCCTTCTCTTCTAACATACCGACAGCCTGAGGGGCCAGGATCTGTGTGAATCCGGCTGAGAAAGTGATGAGGACAACAGGGTAGGTGACCCAGGCCAGGTACTGGAGTAAGATGCTAGTGTTCAAACCCCGGGACATCCACTGCTGGGCTGTGGGAAGATGACCTGCTGGACCCCCAGTGCACAGACCCACTACCTGCCTGGCCAGTGGACCACGCTGATATGACAGGCTGTCCCAAGGAATACCACATGTCAGGGCATGGGGGAAGGAAACGGTCCCTGAGGGCATTCACTGGGACAAAGCCCAACCTAGGCAAGAGGGTCACTTGGAGAGGGGACACAAGAAGCTGTACCCTATGGGAGTGGCTGAGAAGATGCCTGAATCTGGGCAGTCAGACTGGCTGGGGAAAGTGGTCAGTGGCCAAGAAGCCAAGATGCCTTCCTCCACGTCTAGATGAGTGTGGCATGGACGCAGGAGGTTTCTTCCCAGTCCTCCCCCTGCCAGCTGTCGCCCTCACCTTGCAGACAGGCAGCAATGGCATAGTCCATGGCCCAGCTGACCAATGCCATGAGGAGCCCCAGCAGGACCAGGAAGATCCAATCTTCACCAACCCTGGATACTAGGAACTTGTGGCAGCGGACAGAACAGACTGGATGCAGGGAAGGGAAGAAGGGGGAGGCTGGCACCAAAGTGCTCCTACCCCTTTTACGGCCCCCTCAACTGCCCTCTCTCCCCCATCAGCAGCTCTAATGGCCTCTGCTCCCCTCAGCATAGCACAGCCAGGTCCCTTGCCCCCAACCCAGTTCTCACTGCGGCATTGGGCACAACGGCTCCGTCCATATTCCAAGAGCTCTGGGGCAGCCCGAGGGGAAGGGGGACCTTTCCAGGGTTCAGGCCCTCCCAGGCGAATCCGAGCAGCTTCCTCTTTGGCAAAGGCCCCAAGGTCCTGAGTGTACCGGCCATACATCTGGAGCAACAGGAGGGATGGGGGCATTTGAGGTCATGGGCTGAGTGGGAATGCAGGGAGGGTTCTTAGAGCCTCCACTCCCCTTCTCCCAGCCCCCACATTGGATATCCCTCTTGAACGCACAGTTCCCACTCTGGCCCAAGGTGTGGGAACAATGCACATTGCAGACTGTGGGGGCTGTCCTGGCCAGAGTGATGGGGACAGCCAAGGTACAGGGACACAGCTCTGGGGGTGGCAGAATAATCGGTCCTCTTCTCACAGGCCTGGGGCTGGGGCACTGAGGAGGAGTGAGAGGGAAGCCCCAGAAGAGGAAAAGATGGAAAAAACACTTTTAAGTGGGAAGTGGGAAGGTCAGGGAGTAAGGGATGATCAAGGGCACATGGGCAACAATAAGAGCCTCATGGAGCTCGGGGCAGCTGAGTTGGGCCCAGGAGCAGGCGCAGCCCCAATCCTTATCACGTTCCTGCTGGGCCTCTGGCCTGTGACCAACTCAGCTGCACCCCTCCCACCCACCCTAATCCCCTTGTCCCCATTCTCCACTGCCACCCCCACCAGCCTGCCAGCCCAGCTGGGAGTGGAAAGCCTCTTGCCTAGGGTGGAGAGGGCTTGGTGACCTCAGCCCCACTATGGAGCTGCACTGAGCCCAGTGGTGGGTTGGGGGACAGCGGAGGCTGAGGATGGCTGGGCTGTGACTGTGGATGCTGGGGTGATGGGACCGGAGAGTCGCCTGAACCATGGCTAGACCTGCCAAGCTGGGCGTGTGTTGGGGGGCGGGGAGGAGTAGATTCCGGCTGCCACCCGCAGAGCTTCGGGACACAAAGGGCTCCTGTTGGGGCTGGGATTGGAGGGGGGGAGGAAGGGAGGGAAAGATAGAGACAGAGAGAGGGTGAGAGATAGAGAGTGAGGAAAGGGAAAGCAAAGAGAAGAGAAGAGAAGAGAGAACTAGAGAGGAGAAAGGAAAAGAAAAAAGAGAGGCAAGGTGAAGGGACAGAGAAGAGAAAGAAGGGGATGAGAGAGGAAGAAGTCGGGAGGAGGAAGAGAACTGAGAGTATTAAGAGGCAAGCACGGTGTAGGAGGAGGGAGCCGAGAGTGGGAGAGAAAGACAAAGGGACAGGATGGGGAAGGGGGGCGGGGGCAGGCTGGAGCACCGAGTGCCGGGGACAGAGCTCGACCCTGAGAGCTCATTCCAGAGACAGCTGGAAGGGACGGAGATGGAGAGGTGGTGGCTGGTGTTAGGAGGCACCATTTCAGAGGCCAGGTGCCTGGCTTCCTTGACCATGTTCCTATCCTGGTCTGGGCCGATTGACAAGTGTCTCCTACCCCATCCCAAGGGTTGGCCCCTTTACCCTTGCTCTATTCCCACCTCTCCCTGTCATCCTGATTCATCCAGCTACTTTCTCCTAACTGGGCACCTCCCAGACTTAGTTACAGCCTCTCCTCCCCAAGACGTTCCCTCCCTGCCACCTTCCTGGGCAAATTCCAGCCCAAGCTGGTAAAAAGGAACCAGGGGCCCCTTCCTTTCCTTAGGGCTTGGGTCTTCCACCCCAGTGACATGAGGAGGGTCACGTGGCTTCTCAAACACCAAGTAACAATGGGGGCGATAAGTCGGCTCAGAGCCCAGGACCCCTGCTTCTAATGAGGTCAGGGGACACACCCAGCGGTGGGTGGGGGCTGGATACCCCACATCAGCATGGACAAAGGTTCCAATTCCCACACCCATTCCTGCTTCACCCACCCTCCCTAATGCTCCTGTCCCCTAGAGTGGCAAGCCACCTTTTTCCAGAGTCAACTGAGGGGCTCCTAGAGCCAACGCTGGGTGTGGAGCCCCCAGAGGTAGGGTCTGGGGCGGACCATCTTTCTACACACTAGATTCTATGCTTAGCATGGTGCCATGCACATGGCAGGGACACAGAGAATGTCTTGGGTGGTGGAAACTTCAATGGTGTGAATGGTGCCGCGGAAGGGGCAGTGGGGTGCTAAGACTTGGGCCCAAGTGGTGAAGGGGAGGAGCAAAGAAAACGTGCATGTTGGGGGGGTGAGGGGAAGGACACCTGGGACAAGTACCTGGTGTCCTTGTCCTCTGCAGGCCCTCAGCCTCAGCCAGAAACCAGCATGCAGTTTCCATCCCTTCGGCCCTGCAGCCTCAAACTTCCAAGCCTCAGTTTCCCCAGCTCAAAAGGCTGGGACAGGATTAGGGTAGGCCCCTGGTCCTCGCGCTTCCCAGGGTAACCTGGAGCGGCGGTCCCGGAGCGCACTCCTCGGGCTCAGCTCATCTTCACTTACCAGGGTCTGCTCGTACTGCAGCGCCCGCGGCTCCATCCCTTCCTCCGCCGCCGCGGCCGCCATCTCCGCGCACTGCCCTCTCGCCTCCCTCAGCGGCTCCGGCTCTGTCCTGGACTCGGCTCCCGGCCCGCAGAGTCAGCGCAGGTAGCCGTCCCGTCCCCGCAGCTCGGGAGGCCGAGAGCAGAGTGCGGCGGGCCCCCGGCGGGCGCCGCTGGCGCAGCCTCCGGCTCGCGTCCCCTCCTCGGCGGGCGGGCCGAGGGCGGTGCCCTCTGCGCTGCTCCGCCCGCCGGCCCATCCGGAGGGGACGGCCCAGCCAGGCTGGGGTCCGTGCGGGGCCTCCCGAGAGGCGGCAAAGGGCGCTGGGAAGGCGTAAGCCCGCGCCGGCTCCCTGCAGAGGCCCGGGTCGGAGAGGGGCGCCCAGGAGGGGCGGGTCTACTGGCACGTGGAGGGGCCCACCCGGGTTCGCAGTTCCCAGTGCCCAGGCAGGAGGGGCTGCAGACGCCTGAACTCCGTAGGGGTTGGGGCTGGGAGCTGCGGAGCTGTCTACATCGGATTCCTCCGGGTCAGCCCGTTAGGAGCCGCCTCCCCTCTGCCCCTCCGAAGGGACGAGCGGCCCAGACAGGCCCAGGAAGGCCCCTCTGCCCCGTCAGGGGTGAAAAGCAAAGCTGGGAGAATTCGGAGGGAATTGGAGCCGTCTTCCTCATCCTTCCTTTTCTCGGGGCTCCCCTGGGGAGGTGCACTTGGAGCAACCCGGCCTACGGGGTGTGCAGGGGTGGAGGTTGGGGAGGGCACCGGAAGGGGTAGGCCGGAGGGAAGGGAGCTCCAGGTGCCGGGAAGTCCAGTTCTGGGACGCGGGCGTGGGTCGCTTCTCCCTGGTTGGGCCCAAGGAGGAACCAGAGTCGCTGCTTCCATCTCTCCGCTTTGGGGGAACCGCCTGCTGGTGCTCTGGGTTCTCTATCAGGGGCTGGTGAAGGATAGAACAGATGGCAGAGCGCGCGCAGGGTGGATGGGCAGCATAGAGATAGTGTGAGAGGAGCGAGGGCAGCGGCCAGTAAACGCACAAGTGTGCGGGACAGCCAGCACCAGGAGGAAGGGGCATTTGGGAGGCAGAGGAGGGCCTCAGGGGGCGGGGGCAGTGCCCGGGAAGGGGGAGCCTTGTGATAGAAGCCAGCACCCAGGAGGAAGGGCCAGTGTGAGAGAAGAGCTGGTGTCCAAGGGACAGGGCAGTGCCAGGCTGAAGGGGCACGGAGGGGATCCGTGTCCAGGAGAAGGCAGTGGAGGACTAAGTTGGAGGGGTAATGCCCGGGGGAGGCGGGTGGCGGGAGCCAGGCTGAGGGGGCGGTGAGGGGGAAGACAGCAGGGCCTGGGGGAAGCGGGCAGTGGTGGGAGGGTGCAGTACGAGGGGAGGGGACAATACAGGCTTTCCTCTTCTCCATAGCGACATCATGGCAAATTCCCAAACTGGACGGATCCGGCTCGGGTTACATCCAGCAGGGCCGAGCCGGCCCAGGCAGGCCCCAGGGTCCGCGGTGCCGGCTGGAGGGGCTGGGCACCTCTGGGGCGGGGTTCTGCTCCACCTGCCCTCGGCGCGGACTGTGCCCTAGGCGGGCACGCAGACCGGCGGGGTAGGGCTAGGGCCCGGCTTCTCTGGGCCAAGGATCAAGGTCCCTGCCTGGGTTAGGCCCCCAAGCATTCCAATCTTCGGGACCCGTCCTCTGAAGAGGGCGCAGCAGAGCCCCGGCTGAGCGCTAGAACCCGCTCTACAGCCGCGGGAGGTTGGACCTATTGTTTCCCCGCCCTGGGCGGGGCCACCTGGACGTGAGACCCGCCCTCAACGCCGAAGCCTCTCGGGAGCAATCTTTTGGGGCGGAAGTTAAGTAGCCCCGAGCGGGAGTCTGTGGCGGAAGTGGTCGCGTTACCGCTTGTTTGTGCGCATGCGCCATTCTTGTCTGGCTGCCCCGCACGGAAGAGCTGCTTTTGCTCTTCTTCCCTCTTCTGCACGAGAGGGGGTGCGTGTACTCCCAGCTGTGGTCGCCCGCTCACCCCTTCTGCTGCTCTCGTGGCCCCCTCGCGATGGCGGGCATCCTGTTTGAAGATATTTTCGATGTGAAGGATATTGACCCGGAGGGCAAGAAGTTTGACCGAGGTAAGTAAAGTACGTAGGGGCGATTTGGAGGAAGAGGCTAACCTCGCGGACATGCCCCTGGACCCCGTGTCCACCCAGCTCTTGTGGCCTGCCCCTACCAGCAGGTCCTGATGTAGGGACCTCCCTCAGGAAACATTTTATGGATGAGAAAAGGGAGACTCCCGAGCTTTCTCTGGCTTCACGCATGCCGTGCCCGGTGCCTGGGTGGCCTTTTGTCATGGTGCTGGCAAACTCCTGGGCATCTTTATAATCGCTACCTGCTCTGTGCTAGACACTGTCTTGTGAGACCAGCCTGGCCAACATGGTGAAACCCTGTCTCTACCAAAAATACAAAAATTACAGGCGGGCGCCTGTAATCCCAGCTACTTGGGAGGCTGAGGCAGGAGAATTGCCTGAACCTGGGAGGCGGAGGTTGCAGTGAGCCAAGATTGCGCCACTGCACTCCAGCCTGGCAACAGAGCGAGACTCCTCAAGAAAATGAGAGTCCTCATGAGGTGGGTGGTGCCTTCCCCATTTTTTTCTGAGAGAGTAATCCACCCAAGGCTTCACAGCGAGTAATCTGACTTCAGAGCCTATATTCTTGTATTGCCCTCATAATCCTTAGCGCTTTAAGTCTTCTCTGAGTTAGAGTTAGCTGCTTGGTATATCCTTTTTTTTTTTTTTGAGACAGAGCCTCGAGCCCAGGCTGGAGTGTAGTGGCACGATCTTGGCTCACCACAACCTCCCTGTCCCAGGTTCAAGCGATTCTCTGCCTCAGCCTCCCAAGTAGCTGGGATTACAGACATGCTCCACCACGCCTGGCTAATTTTGTATTTTTAGTAGAGACGGGGTTTCACCACTTTGGCCAGGCTGGTCTCGAACTCCTGACCTCAAGTGATCCACCTGCCTCGGCCTCCCAAAATGTTGGGATTACAGGCGTGAACCACTCTACTGGCCTACACCTCTTTATTTTGTCATCTATCAATACTTTTCTCTTTGATGTCTCTTTCTTTGCCTGGAGACTCAGATGTTTTCAAGACGGATACCAGTTCTTATACATCTTGATAACTCCCCTCAGCACAGTGCCTGTCATAGAAAGAGGAAACCTTTGGATGATTGAATAACTTGCCCAGAGTCAGGTTCTCAGTCATCCAGGCAGGCCTAGAACCGGGTATTATTTGCTGCTGAAGTATCTTTGGTTGTTTTCTGGGGATTACGTTCACTTGCCACAGTTTTTCTCCCCTTTTCCTTCTTGCATGTCTGGTTCTGATGGAGCCTGCATTTCTATGAGAGCAGATGAGAGACCAGTGGTTGTAGACTGGGTTAGATTGAGTATTCTGTTGCATACAATCCCACACTGTAGGATCTGCCTTGGGCCTGGCAATACCTCTGTCACTCTTTTCCTGCTTCTCCCCAGTGTCTCGACTGCATTGTGAGAGTGAATCTTTCAAGATGGATCTAATCTTAGATGTAAACATTCAAATTTACCCTGTAGACTTGGGTAAGTATTGAACACAGACAATAATAAGAGGCATTTTGCCGCTTCCGCTATTCTTCACTCTCTGATATTGCTGTTATTTTCAGGTGACAAGTTCCGGTTGGTCATAGCTAGTACCTTGTATGAAGATGGTACCCTGGATGATGGTGAATACAACCCCACTGATGATAGGCCTTCCAGGTGAGGGAGTGGAGAAGGTAATACTTGGAATATGTCTTGAGAACTAAGTAGATAAGTGATATAGAAAGACTCTTCTTTAATTCCTGGAATAAATGGTGATCAGCAGAATCTGAGTAACCTTAAGGAAATTTCTGCACTTAAGAATTCAAACAGGCCAGACACCGTGGCTCACACCTGTAATCTAAGCACTTCGGGAGGCCGAGCAGGAGGATTGCTTGGGTACAGGAGTTCAAGACCAGCCTGAGCAACATAGCGAAACCTCACTGCTACAAAAATAAGAAAAAAAAAAAAAAGGCTGCACATGTTGTCATATGCCTGTAGTTCCAGCTACCTGGGAGGCTGAGGTGGGAGGATTGCCTGAGCCCAGGAGGTTGAGGCTGCAGTGAGCCATGATTGCACCACTGCAATCCAGCCTGGGTGACAGAGTGAGACCCTGTCTCAAAAAAAAAAGAAAAAAATTCCAACAACCAGGTATTTATCTATAACAGTGATTACATGCTTGTGAGCTGTAGCCTTTTGAAGGCTGAGGAGGTGACTGCTGAGTGACCTAGGCTATGTGGGTCTTGTGTCTTGGGAGGGAGCTTGGTGTGATGGAAAGACTTTGGCACCCCACTTGAGTTCATTTCTCAGCTCTATCACTTATTTGTTGAGTAACCTTAATCTCCTTCAGCCTGTTTCCCCATCAGTAGAATAGAGATGATCATGATCATGCCTAGCTCACGGGGTTGCTGCGAGGACTAAATGACATCATGTTTGTTTGTAATGTGCCTTTTTTTTTTTTTTTTTTTTAGACGGAGTCTTGTTATGTCGCCCAGACTGGAGTGCAGTGGCTCAATCTCGGCTCACTACAAGCTCCACTTCCTGGGCTCACGCCAGTCCCGAGTAGCTGGGACTACAGGCGCCCGCCACCACGCCCGGCTAATTTTTTTATATTTTTAGTAGAGATGGGGTTTCACTGTGTTAGCCAGGATGGTCTCAATTTCCTGACCTCGTGATCTGCCCGCCTCAGCCTCCCAAAGTGCTGGGATTACAGGCTTGATACACCGCGCCCAGCCGACCAGTAACCATTTTTAAATGGGATTTTTTATATTGTTAATTACTGTTAAGAATAACTTTGCTGCTATTGCTCCACAGGGCTGACCAATTTGAGTATGTAATGTATGGAAAAGTGTACAGGATTGAGGGAGACGAAACTTCTACTGAAGCAGCAACACGCCTGTAAGTTACATAATCTTATGAGGTTCTTTTCCCTCTCCGTGTTCTGAGACTTTGAGCTATGCTCCTGCTTCCTCTGTTGGGTCCCTCTCCTCAGGCACCTCAGACCTAGGTAGGAACTAGAAAGAAATGGTTCTGAGAGCAGTTTCCAGTCTGAAAGGTAGACTGCTCTATGTCAGGCCCTCCTGGCCCAGCAGTCCAGATGAGAAACTGGTTATCTTACTGTGTAAAGTGCAAAGGAGACTTGCTTCTCCAGAAACAAATGCAGCATTAAGTGATTATCCTATTAGGCTGTGTGTGTGTGTGTGTGTGTGTGTGTGTGTTTTGCTACTCTGTAACCCAATCCCTAGTTCCTTGGTTTTCCTGTCCAGCTATTTTTTCTTTTCTTTAAAATCTTATTAAAACAATATGTGCTTTTTGTAAGCAATTTGAAATGCAGAAGAGTAATGTGAAGAAGGAAAAAAAAAAGTCACCTGTAATTCCATACCCAGAGATAACCTTTTACATAGACTTTTTTGCATATCCTGGTGTTCTGTTTTTTCCTTTGAGACTGTGGTGTTTATTATGTTTTCTTCTGCTCTTTTTGCTTAACATTATGTAAAATATGTTTCCCCATGTTAGTGTGAAGCTTTTCTTAAATGTTTTAATAGTTGCATAACATTTCAGTAAGTGGATACATCTTGATTCATTTGACCATTCCCCTGATTTGGGGCATATAGGTGTTTTCCACCTTTGCTAATATAAAGAACAGTGCCTTGCACATATCTGTACATTGATCTTTGTCAGAATTTTGGTTCCTAGTGACAAAACAGTAGAAAGATGCCTCTTCTTTTTCTTAGGCTGAGATGGAGAGCTGCTGAGTAGCAGTGCTCCAGACTCATGGGATGGGGCCTTCTGTTTCAGCTCTGCCTATGTGTCCTATGGGGGCCTGCTCATGAGGCTGCAGGGGGATGCCAACAACCTGCATGGATTCGAGGTGGATTCCAGAGTTTATCTCCTGATGAAGAAGCTAGCCTTCTGAACCTCACCGGAAGCCAGCCTTGCTGCCTAGTCACTCAGGTCATCGGCATTGTTCAAGCTGAGTGGCAGCCAGTCTTGCTCACCTGTTGAGGAGGGGCTGGCTCACTGTCCACTGTGGTGGCATCTTTAACTGGCCTGCACTCAAAGGGAAACTGACTCGCCTGTGAAAGACAGTGGGAAAGCTGCAAATGAATCAGAAGCTTTGTGTATATGATTTTTAAATTAAACTTTACTTTTTCAGACTGCCCCTCCCCTTTTTGTA